CACTGCTGCTGCCAGTGGCCCGTATCTCCAATGCTAAATTTGCAGCTTTAGCCATGGGGTGAGCAGTGGAGCCCTAACCAGCATGGCTGGGTATTGAAGGGTGCAAGGTGCTCTGATACATTCAGTATTGGGTATGTACTTCCAAGAGTCATGAGGGAGCTGCAGAGGGAAACTCGTGGGCAGTTGTGGAGCTCAGGAGAGGTCTCCACAGGGACTGTGGAGGTGGAGTCCTCGGGATATCGCTGAACAGTGGTTGGAAATAAGGCATTTTCTGCATGAGAACACATGCTCAGCAGCGAACCCCAGAGGGCTTGGGCAGAGCAGAGTTCAGGGAGGAGGAGCAAAAGCAGCCAGCAGAAGGTGAGAGGTGAGAGACAGAGCAGGGAGCAGGGAGCATAGATTCCAGGCTGCGGAGAGAAGGAACCAGAGGAGAATGGTGGCTTGGGAGGGGTCTGCCCAGGTTGAGAAATACTTGTCATTTTGGAGATGGGAGGAGAAGTTGAAGATGCGAAAAAGCAGAGGGGTTACATGGTGAAGGAGACCCCCAAAGAAACAAGAAATGAATCCTGATGAGATGGAAGAATGAGGAGAAGCAGGACTAAGACATTGTAAGAATGAAAGAGCAAAAAACTAACACAACTAACTCCATTTTCAATCAAGGGAACCCCTTACCCATTCCTGCACATAGGTTAGGATAATTTTAGGGCACTGAGATAAAACGCAAAAACAGTAATCATGTAGTTTTTGAAACTAACTCTGGGATTAAAGGAGAAGTATGTAAACAACTGTTTCATTAAAGGTTTATAGGAGCTTTGTGATCTGCCCAAGGACAAAGGAGTTTCCAACTTCCTGGCCCCTCGCTGGTGCCCAGATGTTAGCAGTTGTTGGTCATGTCTTTGACAAAAAAAGAGCCTAGAATTTCTACTGACTTGAGATGTCTCTACAACACTAGTCTGCCCTCTCCTCAGGTTGCCACCTCTTGAATAAGCCTGCTTTTCCTTCCACCAAATCTTGTCTCTTAAGTCTGGCTTCCAAGCAGTGAGTAGGAGAACCTGATTTCAGTTACATTTTAAGGAATTCCAAACTATGAGATGGGCTGGGGTGCAGCCACAGGGCACTCAGAACTGGGGTACTATGAGAACCTGGGAACCCACACATGGGCTGAGGGAGAAGAGAGATGGAGGAGACACCACAAAGGGGAAGATTGGGTAGCCCCAATCCTTAGCTGAGCCAAAGATCAGCTCTGCAAGAGGTCAGGGTTCCCCCAGCCAACAGGAGTGTGGGTGGGAGCAGGGAGGCTTCCTGGAGCCAGAGCTTGGTGCAGGGGGAGGTTTTAGAGTGAGAATGCCAGGGAGGTCGGCAGGCTCCAGGTGCCTTTCCATCTTCTTAGTTTGTCCAGCTTCCTCATGATGCTCTCTGGATCCACTGTGGCAGGACACTGGCTTAGGACCCTCTCTAAAGGCTCCATCTTTTGTGGACCACAGACCCCTTTCAGAAAACTGAAGAGAACACCAGACCCTCACACACACAACACAAATGTCCACAAAAATTCCTGGGTGTTGATGGCTTCCCTGAGATTCATCCATAGACCCAGGAGTCTGAGGTACTAATTGTACACATAAACAGGAAGTAATCACCCTGGCCGCCTCCAGCAGCTAAGAAGCTGTCATAACGGAAAACAGAAGGCTGATTCCTTCAGCACGGCCCAGAACCCCACACAGACCACCTACTAATGAGCTTTCTCCTCTTTGCTAATACAGGACACTGTAATAAAGTTTAATGTGGAAGAACAAGGTGCATTTGACCAAAGCTGTAAACATCTCTAATTCTACTTAAAACTGTAGAGTGCAGTACATTAACATTTAACAATTAGACACTAAATTGGAGTGACACTAATAGAGTTGTGTTTATTAGAAATGAGGCACCAAGTCATCTTTCACCAATGACAACAGAAGGAGCAGAAATCCTCCACAGCCACCCTTCCCCACCACGCTATGTGTTCAGGAAGAGTCTTGTCCAAATCACTGCCCCCTCCACCCAGAAAGATGAGGATAGCTTTGGGGAAAATACATTCAGCAGACCAGACAGAGCTCAGTGCCCATGTCTGTTAGCCTTGTGCATTAGGGAATTTGTTTTTTCCCAGAGAAAGAAAGCACTTTAAAAAATGAGTGTTTGATTAATTCAGAATGAGCAAAGGCTCAACCTCTATTCTCCCTGCCCTCTGCAGATTTCACACATGGAGCCAGCCCTTCTTCCTCTGAGAGACTCCCAGGTGCAGCTTTCTCCTGGCTCTCCCCTGCTGCTCCGACTGTCGCTGTCCTCTGAGCTCCACCTGGATCTCCTCACCTGCTGTGCACCTGCCAGCATGGGTGCCCCCCACTGCTCAGGCCCAGCCCTTCTGCTTCTCATTGAGCGAGCAGCTGCTCCATGAGAATATTGCCCAATCTTCGACTGTGTCCTATGCCCTAGACACCCCCTTTCTTGCAATGAGCACCAGATCCATATTTCTAACAGTTTATATCCTTGCTACTCAGTGTTGGTCCCAGGACCAGAAGCATGGACATCCCTGGGAGCTTGTTAGAAACTCAGAATCCCAGGTGCTATCCTGGGACGGCAGACCTCCTGAGCCAGGATCTACATTTTAACAAGATCTTGATGATTTGTGCAAGCACTAAGGTTGAGAAAGCACCAGTCTATGCGCCCGTCTATCTGGACACCCCACGGCCACTTCAGCCCAGCATGGCCACGCTGAATGCAGACCCCTCCCATAGACCATGAATTTTTGTTTGGTTTTCCTTTCTGAGGAACAGCTTCTGTCCCGTGTATGGAAATGGGAGCGTGGTCTAGGGTGGGGTCAATGTCCCCGCCATGGAAGCCAGCCTGAGCTTTAGGCTGACACAAAAAGACTCCCTCCAGCATGCATGTGGCATGGCTTTTTTGTGTTAGCACCCTGTGTCCTTCCACCTGCTGCCACCAGTGTCCCTCAGTCCTGCTCTGGCCCTGCTGGTATCCCTCTCCAAATCTGAGGGCTCCCTTCCTTAGGGAGCGCATCAGTCCTGGAGCCCTCCATCGAGAGCTCTCCATTGAGAAAGGCGTCTTCAGAGCCAGGGATGGGCCCACTCGGCAGGAGGAAGCACAGTGCAGCAGGAGCTCACGGATGCAATTCAGCCACTGGGGTGCCCTAATTGGGCACCCTGGGTATGGATATCAGTGTTTTTTTTTTTGTTGTTTTGATTTTTGTTTCCTGTGCTAGGAAGGAACTTTGATACATACCCTAATCAGATTCTTTATGTTGCCACCTGACTAGCTAGACCAAAACCAGGATTTAAACCATGGGGTAATTAGTTTACGGAAGAGAAGAGTCCGGGATGTTAGGGACTTGAGGTGGAGTCCTACCCTTTCAGGACATTCTCCTCCCTGCTTCCTGCTCAGTGTCTCTGTTGCCTTCCAAGCCTTCTCTGCTAGGCAGGAGATATGGGAACAGATATGATTTCTGTCACTCCAGCTTCACGGCCCAAGACAAAGATGGTTTCTTTCTCCTCAGGATTTTGATTATCCCAGATGGTCACGTGCATGCTTGAGACCATTTCTGGCATGAGCTCCATTCTTGGCTCAGCCTAGGTTACAGTCATGCATATCAGAGGCTGTGATGAGCAGGGCCATGAGTATTTGGGCTTATTGCTATGTGGGCCAGCCTACATTACCCTACATTAAAATGTATTTTCTAAGTGTCCCAGGTTGTTTTCACTCTCACAAGAGTTGGGAGGCGGGCCTGGCTTTTCCTTATTTTCCCCAGGAGCTAACAGAGTGGTGGTGCATTCATAAAGACGGTTCCCTAAGGAATCCCAGGCCTCACCTCCACTACAGCTGCTTCAGCGCAGGCCTTGGGGCTTTGGCTTGGCAAGACAGTGTCACCTAAGTGGATGCCTCTTCACACCTCCTGGCTTCCTGTGATGACTCCATGCCAACCATGCCAAGGCCTAAAACTCACCACCAAATCTGACAGCATCTGCTCTCTGCCTGAAGGAAGACAACGCACTCTGAGCAACAGGTTCACACTTGTTTTAGCTTCATTTAAACATATAAGCAATGATCCATTTTGAAAATTACTCATATATAGTTTCTATCATTGATGCTTTATAGTAAAAACAGATTGATGACCTTTCCCTAATTTCTATTTCACCAATATATGACTTGTTTCCCCTCATCTTTGGAAATGACAATGCATGATTAATGGACCGTGGATAAAGAATGAATGAGTGGCCACATCTTTTAAAGCTTACTATGGCAATAATGTCAATGTATCATCTCAAACAAGCACCAGCTACAAGTCATCCATTGCTTCCGGTTCTGAGCACAGCTTGGACGTTTGCTTCTAGAGATAACGGTGGAACAAGCTCTGCCTGGATGCTGTCCATAGCTTCCATGATTCCCCTGGACAGTGTTTTCAGTAGGAGGGGATAATCTGCAGGTCCCCATTCACACAACTTAGTGTGGATTCATGGAGTGATGACCACAGTTTGGGAAAGAGAGGCTGGACTCAATCTATAACATAACAGTGACTGGTTAGACTCTAACTGGGAGCTACCAGCTCTTAACAGCATGCGTTCTTCTTGGTAGAATGCCCCTGTATGATAACCCTAGGCTCTCCTTGGATTTAAGTGGGTGAGTTTGGGGGTGACTGGAGTTCATTTCCATTCTGCAGAGATCTAAGCGATCCAGGAAGATATTACTCCCTGGCCTGTTGCACTCTCCCCACCAACTCCTTGTCACGTGCCCCCTCTCCTTTCCATTTGGCACCCCCCAGGGCCTCACTAACCCATAAGGCTCTTTGGGTAAATGAGGAGATCACCCTCTGCCCTCAAAACACTATACATCTGTCAAAACATTGTCAAGATAAACTAAAAATCCCTGTGATAATTACGATATAAATGATGTGCTAACCATGTATCCTCCCCTCCTAAAGAGATGCTCAGAAAGTTCTAGTGAGTGCTTCCAAATGGGTCTTTCTTCCTCAAAAGCTGCATGGGTTATTTACTGCCTTTGAGATCTAGCAGAGAGGGAGGAATGAGACACAGGTGTCATTCAGAGAGGGTGAATTTCCACTTTGTAAAGGCAGACAAGTTTGCTCCCAGAAAATCAATATCTGCTTCCAATTTGGACCCTTTCCAATAAACCATAAGCTCTCATGAGTCTTTGGAAACATTACTGTAGGGCTAAGTTGGTGAACAAGTATTTGCTTTTTACAGTTATTGCAATGAAAGCCTTAATAGTGAAGAAATGTTCATTTTGAAAATGCAGACTGGTTTTAGCATGAATGTCAACACAGAGCATTTGTGTAGCAATTTACAGTTTCTAGAACCTGGCAAGATTCATTATCCCATTTTACTCTCAAGAATTCTATGGAAAGTTAAGTCATCTTTACACAAACATGGAGTCTGAGGCCATTAGGGGATAAGAAAGTCAGCTAAGGTCACACGGCTATACAGAGAGCACAACTCATACCCCAGCTGTGTTTAAAATAGATAATTTATCATATATACATGGTCCACTACATAATCAAACAATTTCTATAGTGTGCAGTAAATGGCCACCCAGAGTGCAATCACACATTAAGAAATGTCCTCAGCAATGCAGTTGACGGGATGGTGCTTCCAGAATGGGTCCCCCGCCAGTGAGTCCAAGATTCCTGGGTGTCCCACAGGTCCACAGAGCAACTTCCCCATGCACCCCTGACCCCCATTCAAACCCATTAGAATTTACACACAAGGTTGTGATGGGCAAGGCACTTGGCAAGAGGAGGGTCTTCGGAACACACTTTCCAGCTCGGCGTGTATCTCCCACTCTCCTACCCTGAGGGCACCTGGCAGCAGACATCCTCTCACAGGAGTGGGTTCTGACTCAGAGGTGGCTGAGCTTGGCACACAGTGAAGAGGCCCACATGCTCCAGTTCGTCTACGATGGCCAGCACCTCTGCTCCTTTAGAAAAGGGTGAGTAAGCACTTCTTAGAGAGTCTGTTTCTCTGTCAGTACAGGTCCACCCTGCGGAAGGGATGGAAGCCCTCTAGAATGGTGTTCTTCTTGTCCTGTGGCCTCAGGGTCTCAGGTGGGCACCATGGCATTCAGAGACAGACCTTATACTTCTAGTCAGTCTGTCCCTCTGGAATGAATCCCCACGGTCAGTGCATCTATTTAAAACAAGAGATGCCATCTCAGGCGGTGCTGGCAATCAGCAGTTTGCTGATTGAAATGATCAGCAAACTGCAATGCCATCTGATCCTTGGAAAACCAACATATGGGCCATTTTACAGTTGGGTCCATAATGGTGTTTCCTCTAACTATATACTATGAGCTTGTATCATGGATACAGGAAGAGTAGAGACTAAAATTAAGATTTAAAAAATGATTTTAAAGAAAACCTGGGGGAAGAGGAGGGAAATGGGATGGGGTTTGGCTCAGCAGAAAATCTCCTTGGCTGGTCTCAGAATCAGAGTCCTTATGCTCAGGGCTCCGGCCCAGGCACATCTTGTCCTGGGAGATCTGTCCAAGGGCTGTGGCCCCTATTCTTTGCGGGAGAGCAGTCTTGTACCTATTTGAAGGCACCCAGAATGCCACTGAAAAGGGGCTCCCCACCACTCAGAAGGCACGAGTGAAAATACAGAAATAAGGGCTTTGTCTCCAAGGCTTCATAAATAACTGGGCGGCAGGTATTAAACAGAACCTCAGAGGAGGATGCGATGCTACAGTTTGTTCTCCTCAAAGAGAATCTGAGCGTAGACAGTGCTGGTGGGGGCGCCTTTGGCAGCCTGGTGGGGTTTGATCAGCTCCAGCTCAGCATAGGTTAAGTTTTCCTCAGCAATCTTTGGCTATAAGAGAAAAAGAACACAACACAATGTTAGCTGACCACAGAAGTTCTACATCACACATTCATTCATCAAGCATGCATGTTCATAGCATTTTGGGATTCAAAGAGGGATGAGTGGACAAGAAATTTAAGAGGTTACATAAAACCCAATAGCATAATTAATAAGATAGAGCTCACTGTCTTCCATAGAGCACTATGTCCTGCAGTGAGATCCTGTGATTTGTTTTCAGGCTGACATGAAACACTCACAAAAAATGACTCAACACAAGGCTAAAAGAAAACTTGACTGCTGAAGAGTAAAAATAATGTAACTATTATCAATGGTCTCTGATCAAAAGGGAAATACAAGGTGGAGACAGAAACAAAAGAATCCTAGCAATTAGTAACAAAACTAGAATACCACCACCCAGAAATTTTTGTAAATGGCTTAGTATAAAACTAAAATTTCAAAATATCTTGAAAATAATGCTAAGGAAAGTATTCCTTGCCAGAACCTAAAGCCTGCGTCTGAAGCAGTGCTAACAGAAAAACATAGCCTGAAATATTTATGCTAAACAACATGAATTAAGTGGGTCAAGCCTCCAACTCAAGGAGTTAGAAGAAGAGGAACAAAATAAAGAAAAGCAGAAGGAAAAACCTCATAGAAATAAACCCAGACTGTATAAATCATCAGTAAAACAGACAAACTGAAAAATAAATTAATCGAGATAAAAAGGGAAAAAGCATAAGTGAATAAAATATAAAATAAGACAAGAGACATAAACTAAATGAAGGAAGTTTACATTTTTTTAAGAAGATTCGTTTGCTGAATATATTGAAAAATCTTTTAAATACAGAATAAAATGCAGAATGTTCCAGAAAAATAGAAATTATAAACGTTAACTCTAGGAAATCAGACTGTTCCATCAAAAAAGGAAGGAAGAAAAGGAAGGAAGGAAGGGCAGTATCATTTATTAATACAAATTTTCAGTTAAATTTACTCAGAGATAATTAAGTACATTAAAAGATAATCATATTCAAGTTGATTTTTTTCCAGAAATGCAAAAATGGTTTGATATGAAAAAATATATTAACATAATTCATAATAGTAATAGATCAAAAGAGAAAAGCATATGATTATAGATGCTAGAAAGGTACTTTACTTAATAAAGTTAAAAACACACTTTTGTTTAAAACAATTTTTGAATGAATTAGGTTAGACATATATTTTCTTAATGTGATTAAGAAACATTGTTAAAATAAAGAATAATTGGCTATCCAAATCTAGTGATATTAAAAATTAAACCCTAACATTATTTTTCTATAAATGCTGTTGGGACATTTGGACAGCCATTTGAGAAAAAAGAAAATCTATCCTTATATCATTAACCTCAGGTTAATTCCAAGTGAATTAAAAATTTTAATGTAGAAAGTATGCCTATCAAACAACTAGAAAACAGATGGAGAGTTTTTTAAAAAAATAAATCTCCAACTATGGAAGTTATTTTGACATATGGCACAAAACCCAGGAGCAATGGAAAAAAGATGTATACATTTTCATGCTAATTATGGCAAAATAGTCTCTCAATAAAATCAAAGGACAACTAAAAAAAATGAGGAAAATATTTACTGCTCATATTAAAGGACTTTGCAGTTCAACAAAGATAATAACCAGGGTCCCACTAGCAAATTCAGCAAAGGACAACAGACAGGACCAGCAGTTCATGGGAAGGAAAAATGCAAGTGTCTCAGACACAGATGAAGTGATACTCACCCTCTCATTATCAGAAAACCAAGACTTAAAGTCACACTTAGACATCATTTGTTTGTCTTTCAAGTTGCCAAACATTAAAAACAAAAGGTTGACAAAACAAACAGGTCTCTCTTATACTAAGAGTGGGAGTCTTTCTTGGTACAAGCAGATAACTATAAACACTTAAATAGGTGTCCGTAGGAGATGCGGGTATTCGTATGATGCAATATAAGGTACAGTCTTTACGAATGAAGAAGGAAGTTATATATGTACTGCATATTTCACTATCATATCCCATGTAAATATGCATGTATGCAGGTACGTAAGTAAATAGGTGGGTACATATTTTACATACTCAGAAAATCCTGGGAACTCTTGGCACTCATTCAGAAAACAGAGAGCACACTACCATGGCTCTTTCTAGGGACGTAACCTGAGCAGCTGCAGGGAGACCCAGCTTTGACTGTGTGTATTTGTTGTTACCATTTGGATTTTGTAGTAGGCACACGTATTTACACAATGAATTAATCAATTTTAATCCATAATTAGAAAAATAAAAGTTGGTCATGAATGTATAGTCACACAGTTGTTTTCATTTAAGCAGCTCTGCTGTTTATAATCTGGGATGTTAGACCTAGGGATTTTTGGTTTTGGCTTTGGTTTGGTGTTGTTTGATTTCCTTTTTTGTTCAAAGTTTGTATGCCCCTTTCCTGGTTATCTGGTTTCCACTGCAAACAAGTAAACCATCTACATTCGATTGAAGTTTCTTAAAAAGAATGCCAAAAACAAAACACTTCTTTTCTTTTCAGGTGATGCACCCTAAAAGGCACAGAAAGTAATAGAAAAAGGGAGTTACAAAGACTTCCTTAAGCCAGCACCTCTGCTGGAGTTGATTGCCAAATGACCTAGACAAATTGTCTAGCAATTTTTCAATTTCAAAGTTAAGATCATTTATAGGGACAAGAGCCTTCTGCTTGCCTTTTGACACCAAAAGTCTTTACATTGCTTCCTAGTCATCCATATCTTGCAAGCGACAAAAACCCTGTTTACATTCTTGCCTTTTGGTTTAATTACATTTCCCATTATAATGATTCCATTTAGAAATGTCATGTGTCCTCAAATAAGCACACAAAACCCAACTCATGTAAATTTTAGCACCAAGATTTATGAAATCATATTGTCCAGGTGTTTTATTACATTACCTTGAAATTGCATTGTTTTCTAGTGTAGATTATCTGTTTATTCTTAAGTTATTCCATTACGTTTGGATATGAAAAATAACACTAGCTCTCTCAATACAGGTCACCAGGCTGGCTTGGCTGATGTGTTGTTTTCATACATTTTTATGATGTTCCTATAGTAAACATAATTTAATAAAGCCAAAGCACACTAAATAAATAATTGCATCTAGAAAAGCAATAAAAGCAAATAAAATTAGTACTTTCATAAGTGGAAAAGGTACTTCAATTACTGCTACAAGCAACAACCCACCATAAAATGTGTAGAATCATTTCCCTTATGCATATTTCTGGAATATAATAATTTGATTGAAGATATGAGGCAGCTCACAGGAGGCTCAGAACTGTGAAGTGTATAGTTTCCAAGATAAGATGCATAATATCACTACTTGGCATCTTTAAAAAACCTATTGTTTTTCTGGCATGCATACTTGACTATCACCATCAGCCATGTGCTTAATTACATTTCCCAGATTGTTTAACTGGAAATAAATTCCTAATGGCCAATGAAAGGGGCAAATATATATTCCTCATTGGTTTTCACCAAACTACCTTTCTTTACTGATGTTTCAGTGGAAGATTTAGGTGCATCTAAGGAGTAGCTTAGAGAAAATTTTGGGCACATCAGTAAGATGAGGTAAACTATAGAACTGGTGGTAAAACCAGGAGCCAGGAGCAGAAAGCAGTGGTTAAAGCAGGTGGGGCACAGCCTGATGAGGAGGCTGTTGCAAAGCCCCACCTTTATTTCAGATTATACAACTTTACTGTTATCTTTAGTAGACAAACCCAACCTGGATTTAAGCTAGGGAATCACTCCCAGAGTCCCTAAAAATGAATGAGGAAGCACTTCTGTTAATTTCCTGTTAGCCACTGGGCCTCAAAATGACTCTCTTAAAACTCCCACCCTACTCTGGGGGATGCAGGAAGTACAAAATGTTGTGGAGTGCTAGTCCAAATTGTGGAGCTGAGGATAGAAGCTTCAAGAGTGTTGAACTGCCTATTCACAAACACTCTTACTACTGTAAATTCCATTGCAAGCTTTACATTTATGTCCAGATGTTGTGTTCACTGGAAAACAGGCAGCAAGAGTTAACCAACTGCTGCTAGGAAGTCCTGGCAGAATCCTTTAGAAAGAGCCCCAGAATGTTCTAAATATGTGAGAAGCAACTTGGCCATTTCCTCTCTCCCACGACTGTTTGGTTTTACTTTATTTTCCCTTTCACTTAACCTGCAGAGACTCCTGGTCAGATTCTCTTTCTATTCCTCAGATAAAGACCTGGGATTTGTTGTATTCAGCAGCTTGGTATTTTTTGTGTCTCAGACCCCTTGCTTCATGAACCCTTAGTCTCACTTTTAGTATTAGAAAACCACCAGCCAAGTAAGTCTGGAGGGGGATTCCAGGAGCAAGAGGGGATGAAGAGTCAGATACAGGCAGGTATTCATGCGTCAGAGGAAGGCTGCGATAAAGGGAAATTCTTCTAGCTCTCAGTTCAATGAAAGTGTTCACGGAGGAGAGGCGAGGAGAGTGGCTGAGGCCATCGTCCTGGGGGTGACTGCAGTTCGTGGGTGCAAGAGGAATTTGGATCTAAGTTCAAATGTCGGCTGTGTGACCTTGGGCCAGTTCCATCACTAGAGCTCAGAGATAATGATGATCCCTTCCTTGTTGGACATTATGAGGATTGAAATGAGATCTATGTAACGTTCTGGCCTAGTGGCTACCCTATAAAAGGTGCTAAACATGTGTGTGCTGAACAAGTCAGTGTTTCAATGGCATCGCCTCCTCTCCAGAGTCAGCTGAAATAGCATGCATATGTGCACGTTCTGAATGCTTCGTAAGTTTACAAGAACTTTGTGAACTAAGTAGCCCTGGGTATCTTTTGGCGGGTAAGGCACGGAGTCTAGGAAATTAGTTGTTATGAACTGAATTACATTCCCCAGATTTCCTGTGTTGAAGCCCTAACACCCAAGACCTCAGAATGTGACTCTATTTGGAGGTGGGGATTTTTAAAAAGGTAATTAAGTTAAAATGAA